AATAAAATGTTATTGTCCTATATTTTCCCCCACCAGGTATCATGTCAGGTTGTGGCGCCTCTCAGCGGCATGCCCTAGAATTGTACGAGTTGAAGAAGAAAGCTGTCATTTTTTATCAGGAAAATAATGTTCCTGAAAGAATTGAAGAAATATTGAATTCCTTGTTTTATCAGAACCCAGATGATATTTTTGGTAGTTTGGTATGTGTAATGGATATTATTACTTTATTAATTTTAATGTACCCCCTTGAATAAACTACCCTCCAGAAAGTCATTTGGAATAAACAAATCCTTTGACTTGAAATGGCCCGAGGCATTATGATGTTTTTCAAATAAATGTTACGCTTCGATTAGCTGTGTTCTAAATAAATGGAAGCAACTCCATTTATGTCACTATAATGTTTTACTCCATTATGAGTTAAATTTTATTTTTAACCCTTTTTTATACTCTAAATTTCAGGCGGGCATTTATTTGAGTATCTAATAATCTTTTTGCAGATATTGTTATCAAACTTAATCAACTGTTATTTATAGTAATAATTATAACATGAAGCTCCCTGTTTATTGTTGGAAAATGAAGTATATTGTATTAATATTATTTAGTCTTGTCACTCACTAATTCTCATTTTATGGTGCATTGAGGATTTACTATAAAATGTGTGGTACAAAGTCCCATACATTGCATTTTCAAATCAAGCTTGTTTATTTACAATATTATTGATATAAAATTATTATTATTATTATTATATTAATAGTATTATTATTATTATTATTATTATTATTTTTTATTATTATTATTACTGTACAGTATTATGTTTCTCATTCAATATGTGAAAGACCAAATTAGAATGATAACACACAAATAGGTAATTTAATTTCATAAACTATTTTTTCTCTCTTAGTCCGAATACTTTTCTCAGCTCTCTAAACCAGCCACTATTAGTCAGGTAGTTGGACGTGAGATATTAGACTGTAAAGGCCAGCCCACTATAGAGATTGCTGTGTATTGTATTCTAAATGGAGTTGAGAAGGTAAAAACTATAAGCATTGAAAAAATAGAAGTTATATAATTACAAAATGAAAATCACACTGTTTTTCAAAATTTCTGTTCTGCTATGTTTATGTCTTGACAGTTGTTTTGGAGAGCTCGCTAACAGTGATCTAGGATCTCTAGAGCATGTTTGAGCAACCCAGTCCAGCACAAATGTCAGTT